AATTGATGTCAAACTTGTGTATTCATTGTCCTCCTAAAGAGGCCATTACATATGTTAGCAAAAGAGGATAACCGGGCATGGGTATACGCCATCTAGCGGTTGGTCAAATCCTTTTTTGCTGGGCCGCGAAAATGCCCCAGTGGCCGCTCTTTATACAGTATATTTCTCTGTGGTTAAAGACTAGAGTAGGGTACCTACTCTAGTCTTTAACAGTTAGTACTGTTAATCGTTACCCACTTTTGACATGCTTTTACTAAACACAGCTCTGGCCATCTTGGCCCTCTGCTCGTCTGTGTTGGCCGTTGGTGGTTCCCGTGAGGGGCGTGAACAGTTTCACGTGAACTCGTTCTCAACAAACCTGAGGGGCCATGGGGACGGCTTTGTGCTATCACATATAAAGTACCTAACACTCTTAATCGTTAACCACTTTTCCTACACACACAAACTGCACAAAGAGCATAATGCTCTTCCGTAGTTCAGTACATCCCGATCTAATTCGTCTAACATTTCTTCTAAGCAAAATTTTTATAATTGTGGAGGTCTAGCGTTCCGAAACCACGATGTAATTATGAGGACCGTCCTAGGGGAAGGCCCCGGAAATTTTAAGCACGAAAATCAAAGTACACGAGGCTCGAACATGTTATCTCCATCGAAAGTGGGGCCATGGCGGCCTTTGAGTCAGCAGTCGACTGCCGTAACCTCTAAGCCACCGTGGCGGGACATAACAAACACGTTACGTATATAGTTATTTGTCGCTGCAGACCATTTCTCAGCGCATGCCAACGAAGGTCGTCGTCGTACTTCGCCGACGCGTTCATGCGATGGAGTCGGCGCTACAAGTTTGGCGCCAAAAGCCGCGCCTTCCAGGGGTCTCTTGTCTTTCTCGGCGAAGATCTATAATCCGCCCGCGTGTACCCGTGTACGTTCGGGCCCACGCCACAGCCTGTGCTCTCTCCAAAGCCGCGCGCATAATTGAATGGATACCTGGAAAACGCTGGCGGCGCCGTTGATTGGGGCGCTTTGTGCGGCGCCATCGGCGGCGTACATATGTGTCGCTAGAAGCTCGATATTTATGTATCCTCAAGTGAGAAACGTGTACCATCGCCCGGTTTGCGCTCATTTCATCGGCAACGCTTTGTGCCACTCGTGAGCAAACCGGTTGGGCGGTGCGTGTTTCTGGGAAAGCTGCTTCGCTGCCGTCTCCGCGGTAACTTAATAGAGATAAGGCGACAATGAAGGAGTGGCTACGAGTGAAAGGTCGTGCGTGATTTTGCTTCGGTTGTGTTCGTACGTCAGTCGTGGCTTCGATTGTATATAGCTTGAGCGGTTCGTTTCTTCGAAATCCTTTGTTGTTATTCCGCCGTTCTAGTAGCGTATACCGTGCGCGCATACTAGAGTAGAGGAGGCGATTCTGGCAAATGATTCTGACTGAGCGAAATAATTGATGAGAGAAAGACGAAATGTTAGAAATAGAAAAAAAGGAAGCAAAGAAAGAAGGAAGGTAAGAAAGAGAGAGAAAGAGAAAGGAAGGAGGTCACGCGGTCTTATATGTACTTACCTAAGACGAGTTGAATGCGAAATTCGCCCTCTTTTGGTTCGTGGTATTTATCTAAATATACTGTAATGATTCTTTAAGAGAGAGAGAGAGAGAGAGATAAATAAAGAGGAAAGACAGGGAGGTTCACCAACCTTGGCTCGGTTGTCTACCCTACACTTGGGGTGAGGGAAAGGGAGAATAATAGAAAGAGATAGAAAAGAAGAGGAGTAAGAAATAGGAGGATGAATAGTCAGCTCTTTATGCTGTAATGATTCCTTATGGCCTGGTTTACTTTATTGAACTGGAGAATCGCGCTTTCGAGAGCCTATTGTAGACTCTCCTGTGGCGGCAGGTGCTAATGCCTATGCCAGGTACGCACTACGCCATGAATTCCCACACTTTTGCGAAATAGGGAAGTAGAATATGGCATTGTTCATTATTCTGCCGAGAGGCGAGGTACCCGCTACACGTCTGTAAGGCATCGTGTGCACTTCTTGACGCTGAGTCTGATGACAACGAATAATGAATAATTATGGCTGAGCCCTTTGTAAATGTTGGGTTGCTTTAAATGACCCACTCGTTAGGAGATCGCATCGCGTGACGCCCATAGACGTCGGCAGAATTTTGTCTTAGGGGTAAGGATTGCGGGGGGGAAGGGGGGGGGGTACAAACCTGCGTTGCAAGGTGGCTGGTGCGCAGTGATCAATCTGGTGGCTGAGGTACTCGGCTGCTGACCCGCAGGTCGCGGAATCGAATCTCGGCTGTGGCGGTTTCATTTCTGATGGAGACGGAAATGTAGGCCCGTGTGCTCAGATTTGGTTGCACGTTAAGGAAGCCCAGGGGGTCGAAATTTCTGCAGCCATCCACTACGGTGTCTCTCATAATCATATGGTGGTTTGGGGACGTTGATACTCCACATATCAACCGCTCAGCAAGGTGGCTGGTGGAGATGGAGAGCGCCGGTGCAGCTTAGGTGCGGGCAAATGCTGATGTTCCTTGAGAGGAAAAAGTGACCCCTTCGCACCACCCTTGGCGACGCCCATGGTTGTTATTGTACTTTATTTACTGCGCTATTGCATATGTTAACGTCAGTGGTTGACATGACGCACGTGCAGGGTCCTCTTGCATAGGAATTTTATACACCCGCTGGCTCTAAGGTAGAATTGTGTAGACGGCTTGACTGCTGCATAAAGGGCCCGGATTCAAATCTCATCGGATCCTGTGGATACTTTCTCCGACTTCTTTTTTTTTTAATTTCTCACAATATCAGTGATGGACAACCGCGAAGGTTGCGGACGACTACGTCATTAAAAAACGGCTGTTGTGATCTCATAACAGCTTTCAATTTGAAGTGACTGCAGATTCTGTGCGGCAGAAGTCGACTACTGAGGCATTCTGTTAAAGTTTCTGTGCCGTAGTGCGAATCGCGTGGTTTCTCAGAGTATTTATTATTTCACAAGGCGGCCCCACGTGTTTATATTGGCCAGTGTGGAATTGAGGAAACCGCACGCTTTGTATAGGGCGATGACGTCAGGTAAAGTGGGCCATCGCGGGCCCTTAAGTACTTAAGTAATTTAAGTACTGGTTAAAACATGTATACGCGGCTAAGACAACAACGAATTATCAATAAAGCTTAGTTATTTGCATTGCTTGAATAAAATATTTCTTTAAGGTGTTTTTTTTTTTCAATAAAACTGAAGGGACCGTAGTGCAAGGAACCTGCCATATGTTCATGCAAATCCCCGCTGATTGGGCTTGCCAAAATCTCTGCTTCTAAGTCCATATTCCATCGCATGTTCACCTAGATCCCGTCCGAACTGCGTTTTGATCATAAATAAGCCTTGCTTTCGTGTTCACGCGGGCTGTAGTGAATATAAATCCTATCCAGTAATTTCGTGAGCTGCCCAATAATAATAATAATAATAATAATAATAATAATAATAATAATAATAATAATAATAATAATAATAATAATAATAATAATAATAATAATGCACCTACAAGTGCGTTCTTCAATCGGGAATCTGGGGACTCGTTTTTTCACAGAACAGAAAAATAGGATTCACTTTTGAAGGATATAGCTTGGTCTTTTCGTTTATTATTTCTCCCTGTCTGATAAAATCACGGGCTGTCTAGGATGAACTTATTTACTGTGTTCTCGTCTTGTCTTGTCTCTTCATCCTTTGAACACTATAAATAAGTGGTGCACTTGCACGAATACTACCGATATGTCAATCGCAGAAGCTTTAAGGAACAAATAAGTACATATACAATGGATCAACACGGTGGATTTCTTACTTGCACAATCCCAGACCCAACTCGCCTCCTATTCTCCAAACAGAAACACTGCGAAGGGCCTCTCCATAAGATGAAGGATCAACGTTGAAATATTGGCGAACTCGAATAAACCATTCACCAGAAGTATACTTTCGTTTTCTTCGTACACAAACCGGCGTGCTACTCTAAGCGTTTAGGCAGCACACGCACCGCACGTGCCGTGGATTAGCGCTGGCGCGGCAGTATGTTCAGTACTTTATACAGCTTCAGCCGGCTCAAGATCGACGTATGCAAACAGAACGAGCAAAGCAGTAGCCCGGGAAGAGGGGGGGGGGGGGGGGATGGCGTTACGCAGGAACTAGCACGGTTTTCATTTCCTCGTCCGAAGGAGTGAGAGCTAGAGCTGGCTGTGTAGATGCGAAGAAAAGCGCGACAGAGCGTGTTTTATTGCTGCGTCTCAGCGTCAGTCAACCGTTCTCGCGTTCCAGCCTTGAAGGCTCGCTAGTCCTAACTCTCTGTATGCGGCGTCCATTTTTTTCTTCCTCGTATTTTCCGCCTGCATCGTGTATCGTCTGCTCAGCGTATTCGTCCGTCTGCTTGCCTCGTATATCCGTCTGTTTGATGTGGTTCGTCCGCTGCTCTCTCGTTTGCTTCGGCTTCTTCTTCTTCTTCCCTTTTTTTCGCCCTTCTCCTTAGGCTGTAAGGTCTCCAGCGGTGTTGCCGCAAAATACGTCGCCCCCGTCGCGCCTCGGGCGTTAAAACGCAGCAGGAAACGATCTAAATGACAGTTTTCTTATCCAGTCACGTGCGTACGATGCCGCTTCAGTAGCGCGTCCTCCTAACTATGCGAAACCTCCTTGCTTACATAACCGGCGTGGCCCGGCCGAGGGAGCGGCGTGGTTCGTGACGAGAGGTCGTGGCGAGGGGGGTAGGCAGTGAGACAAGTTGTGAAAGAAATAAAAGAAGGCCTTTTCCTTCTCGCGTCCTCACGGCGTGGCGAGAAGGGTGTGTGCCGTTCCGAGGTCTGGCGGAGAGCGAGTACAGTAGTACGCAAGGCTTCCGATGTGGCAGTTGGTGCCGTAGAGCGCCCGGCGCGAGTAGTGTGTGTGGCTTTGCGCCTGTGAGCACGTGCCAAGTTAGCGGTTTTCGCGCCGGCTAGAACAATGCGGAAGCTTTTATAGCAAATGCTAACTCAGTTCACAATTACTCATCACGAGCTGACACTGTCGCAAGAATCCACCGCGCCGACCTAGATGCACCAGAAACAGCGGTAGAGCATCGCCCTTCACCTTCCTTTTCGGATGCGTCCTATCGTCTGCATCCGATGCACGAGGCCAACATTGTTTTCTTCGCGCCTGTCACGTCGTCGTCGTCTGCTCGACCGTGGATCGCGCGGAAGTGACGTCACGGCGCGCGCGCGTCGCGGGACACAAAGCGGCGAATTGTCGTCTGTCTGCACGGCATCGCGCATTGTCGTCTGCGCGCTGCTCCAGACGTCTTCGAAAACCGACGACGAATCGAACGAACTGATCGCGACGAGCCGAAACAATACAGCTGTCTTCACGTTTTCTGCCGGTTGATTGATCGTGGTACCCGAATCTTTATGCGGTACTTTTGTTTGTGTGTTTATCGCCGAGTGTTGGACCACACGGAGCCTGTGTTTCCCCGCAGCGAAACTGCGGATGCCGCTGCTTCATCCGAGTTCTCGGTAGACGCAGTCCCGCTACCAGCTGCGAGCGTGTTTTGCAAACACCTGCGAGATCCCTGCTTTCGCTTCCAACGTTCCTCCGGTGGCGCGCGTGCGTACGTGAGCGCCCGTCTTCCGCCCGAATCTGCTGAGTCTGACGTCTCTGCTTCCGGTCTTGAGCCCTGAACGCAGTCTGGTTCATCGAACGCACTGCGAATTGTAACGGACGCGCGCACTTCCGACCTGTGTCCGTCGGAAGTGAAACCGACTTCCGTGTAGACTCGGACCCACCGATCGGCGCCGTATGTTGCCCGCACTGGATCTGGAGTGACGTCACGTCTTGGAGGTGACGAACGCCGGCGCGCCAATTTCAGTTTGCACCCTTCCGGACGCGACGGTCGCCCGGCTTCGTCGGCTGTACTGTTATTCTTGTGTTTGTGTATCGTGAGTGGTGCGCGAAATAAGAAAACATGGCAGCGGTCGTGCAAAGAAGACAAATTAGGAGGCCTACGGGTAAGCTTCTTCACATCCTATTTCATCTCTTCTTGGTCTTCTTTACTGTACAAAAAGAGGCAGACATTGTCCAAGTTACTTAGCAGCAGCACATACACAACGTCGTGATTCTTTCTACATGCGTCGTTGTTAAGGTGTACAACTACTGAAGATTTGTTCCTTACTCGATAATTAAACGTAGTGTAACAGTATGTCACTGTGTTAACAAATACCCCAATAACAAAATAATTACATTGTTTTGAACGTTGAAGAGTATATCGTTTGGAAGTTGAATACGACTGTGCGTATGTATCCACTCCTTGGGTTGCAAGCTATGTGAAGGGGGAATACAATAATCAAGCAATGCAAAAAAAAAAGAAAAAAAATGACTAAGGATCATTCAGCAAGGTAGCACACTACACGGTTGCTGTACTTTCACCTGAAAAGTTTTTTGTTTTGTTTGACAGAACATGTTAAAATAATGCTCTTCATGCCACACGCTCTTACAATTAACAACTTATGACAAGCACTCGTGGTTAGAAGTTATAAAAAGCAGCTGATTAACACTTGGCTGTCAACGAATGGCAAATTCCAAAAACTAAGTTTCAATGTTTTGTCCATGTTATATACCAAAACAGGCTATAACTGCGTTATCGTTTCAATATCACTTCATGATACAAAAATCATTTTTAGATAACGCGATTACATGATAACCAAGCGTTAAGGTCTATCGCCTTTTATGACTTCTACGCACGAATGATAGCCATGTATGGTCAAGTCCTTTGTAACAGCACGTGCCGTTAGAAGTACTTTAATGTCTTCTGTAAAAAAAAAAAAGTTGAAAGTACAGCGCTCGTGTTTTGAACGGTTTTCTTCAAGCCCTCGTCTATTTCCGCTGTTTGCTTATATTAGCCACGATTCAAAACCCACTCGCCCGTTTCTCAATTTTATTCATGTGAAAGCACTGCTGCGCTGTTTCTCATCTCAGCACAGTCATTGACTCCCAGCTGAAGCTATCTCTGCGTCCTTCTTTATTGTTTCTTTTTTTATTCTTTGCAAGCCTCTCGCTTCGTCGTGCGATTGTTCGAAGACGCCGAAAAAAAATGAAAGGTTGCCTCTCGGGCATATGTACTTCGCTGTATTTCACTCCTAACATTGACAGAAGCGTCTTGGGCTAAGAGGGGTCGGTAAGCGAAAAATGGCAATTGATCGCGACTATAGACATACGACTAGTGGAAGCGGCCGGCCAATGGCAGCGAACGCTTGTGAAAAAGAACAAGAAAAGAAACATTGTCGCTAAAGGTACGAGTCAGATAATTTCTCAATAAGCTGGCAATACAGTGCTTCACTCACTCACAATAAGCTGCATTGGCGTCCGAAATAACCGTATTTCACAAGCGTGTTGGAATCTTTTCAGACACCCATAGTTAATACAGGGATCTAAGGGAAAAAAGTAGACATATTTAGTGTATATATAGATAGCCAAATGTACAAACTGGCGGCTGAATTCACGAGGTGATACCATGTTCTTCCTATATATTGGTGGCTTGCGTGTGACGTCATAGACGCGCAATGACTTCGCTATGGCGGCATAGATGACGCCAAGGCGGTATAATCGCGCTGAAACGTTATTGGGCCATGAATAAAGGATACCCCCTAGGCCAACAGAAGCAACCGATCTCAAAGCCACAAATTGATTTTCCCATAATAAGTAAAGAACATAATCACTAATACGTTATAAATTTAATTACTAATACAGTAATAACGTAATGACAGGAAGAGAGAGAAATAATATAATAAAGTTATGGACATTAACTAAACTACGTCCAGATTGCCACCCTACAAGTGGGGAGGGCACGTCAAGTAATGACGTAATCAAAGAAAGAACATAATTACAAGGGCAGTAGGAAGTCACAGTATATTCACTGAGTGAATTATGGGGAGTGGGGCGAAAAAGCCATCAGTCCGTCCATCCGTGCGTGCCCGTTCGTCCGTCCATCCGTGCGTGCCCGTCCGTCCGTCCGTCCCTCTGTCCGTCCGTCTGTCTGTCTGTCCGTCCTTCCGTACGTCCGTTCGTCGTCTGTCTGTCCGTCCGTCTCTACGTCCATCTAGTGAACACTCAAAGTACCGCTATTTCGCATCTTTCCATCACATATTCATCATATGCAAGTACTGTCATTCAGCGCACATTCCAAGGACTCAACGAGAGGTGGCTACCTACTACTACTACTACACACATCGGGGACGCATGACCCACGGCTTAAGGAGCTTCGCCCCTAAAACATACTTATTTTGAAACTTTGAAATAACTCGTGACTGAAGTAACTGACGAAGTAACTGGTGACATACTAAGCAAAAAAAAAAAAAAAAGAGCGCCCCGCCGCGGTGGTCCAGTGGCTAAGGTACTCGGCTGCTGACCCGCAGGTCGCGGGTTCAAATCCCGGCTGCGGCGGCTGCATTTCCGATGGAGGCGGAAATGTTGTAGGCCCGTGTGCTCAGATTTGGGTGCACGTTAAAGAACCCCAGGTGGTCGAAATTTCCGGAGCCCTCCACTACGGCGTCTCTCATAATCATATAGTGGTTTTGGGACGTTAAACCGCACATATCAATCAATCATTACTAAGCAAAAGTAACACTTGGTTGACATTGTTGACGTAGTGTTGATACCCACGGCCCATATTTTCGTTTCACGAGGAGTCTAATCTTGGGCCTTAAAGGCCAGAAAAAAAAGGGCAATCATTTACACTGCTGACGCGAATTTCGCAGTGGACGGAAAACGAAAAATAAAAAGAACGCCTTAGCGTGCATGCCTGCGTGGATTCTATTGGTTTATCATGGCGGCATCCGAAAGCGCCCTCGTGGCAATGTGGCGAAACTAAACGGCCCAGCCTGATCGAGTTGGCGTGTCGGCTGCATCGAGAACTTCGGAAACTCGCTTTTCGGGTGAATGTGTTTTTTTTTAAATGAAGTTATACTCGCCACACGCCAAAAGAGTCGTTTTGTGTGACTGTGTGCACTGATTACTTCCACGGGACGGCGCTATGCTCTCCGATGGTAGAGTACCTAGTACTCTAAATCGTTAACAACTTTTTCTAAATACCTAATTGTCTGAATCGTTACCCTCTTTTTCTAAACACACAATAGTTAAAATTTCTGTACATGATCTTTACCGGGGCGGCTTTCTGCGGTCCTATAGTAGAGTACCAAGTACTCTAAATTGTTAAACACTTTTTCTAAACACACTAGCTTTTCGCTTTATATATTATTTTTTTAGCTTATCTTCCGTTCAGTTACGCAGGCCATCGCTGTGGCAGACAAGAGATGGCGCTACATGCACAAGTCTCAAAATCTTGTTCATGTTACCCTAAACACACATGCACGCCTTATAACTTGAATGTTATGAAATTCTTGAGTTTTCCACATAGTGTAAACTAACTTTTCCTAAACTTTATTCATCATGTACGGCGTGTATATTACGATAAGTGTGTGTATGTTAGTCTTTAGGTGTATGTGTTAGGACATCGTATGGGGATGGTCATTTTTGTAGAAAGGTGTAGTGCATATTATGCCTTGTCATTCGTTTACGTTATTGTGCTTGTCACATAGGCCCCGTTTCCATGCGTTTGCAACGTCCCGCGATAGAATATTTTTTTTTCTTCTAAACGCACTGGTTACTAGTGTATACACGACCAATATAGGTAGTCTTCATGTGCGAGCTTCCGTGCCTCCGCGCACATATGGCCATATGTCTCGTTCAGAGGCCATGTGTGTGCTCATATGGTCTCGCTCATAGTACAGCAAATCATTGGAACTTTGCCGAATCTATGGCGTCAGCATTTCTACGCCGATATGCAAAAAAAAATGGCAACATATCCACTGAGGGAATGATGGGGAGTGGGGCGAAGCATTCGTCCATCCATTCGTTCTTGCTTCCGTCCGTTCCTGCGTACCTCTGTGTAACCGTCCATGCGTCCATCCACCCGTCCGTGCGTGCGTCTGTTCGTGCGTCCGTACCTGCGTTCGTCCATGCATCCGCGCCTGCGTCCGTTCATGCGCCCATCCATGCATCTGTCTGTGTGTCCGTTCGTCCATCTATTCAGCACTCCAAGTACCACCATCTCGCATCTTTTCATCATATATTCTCTATATAGAAGCACCGCCATCCAGCGGACATTTCAAGGACTGAACGGGAGGTGGCACATGCACACTTTCTTACGGCTTGCGCTTCGGGTTTACTTCCCACCTTTAACCACCTCGAGTTCATGGTATATACTAGTTCACTGTATTCATGGCTATGCGGCCCAACGCTCGCTAAACCTTTCTAAAACTAAGGAGGTTACACCCAGCGAGTATAACGTATCAACCCTTTCTTGTCAGATAGTGCTCAATGTACATGCCAATGGCTGCTAATGGGGATCGCAGCCTGCGCGTTACCTAAAGGCCGAATGCTCCTGTCTCTCATTCCCCCTCGGCAGCCATTAACATGTGCAATGAGCCCTATCTTTTATTGTTCAACAGCGCACAGAAGAAATCTCTCGCCGGAACCACCTTGGAAGTCAAAATCGTAAGGACCGCTATTTCGCGTATGTGCCAATGGTGGTTACGTACTACGAGAAACGCACAAGCCACGCCATAAGGAGCTTCGCCCCTAAAACTGTCGTTCCGTCTCTCCGTAGCTCTCAGATATCTGAAGCATGCAGGTTCGGCCCCGGCCCGTCTTTGCGTCCACTCTACTTTTATTCGCATCAATATCATAATTGCTCCAGTGCTCTTGAAACGGCGCAATCAACGCTCCTTATACCTTTCTTGGCTTCATTATTTGCTGGTTTCCATTAGGCTGTGTCAAAAATGGAAAATAAAAAGAGAAAGAAGCACTCAAAAATTTCCTTTCATTCCCTCAATCATAGCGAGGATCTCGTTAAGGCCGACTGAGAAGGAGAGAGAGGTAAACTTTAATATAAAAATTTCCGGCAGAGTGTTGGGCTGGGCTCCCACATAGTAGCTGACGGAGAGATCAGACT